AATAACAAAAACGACTTTGTTGTTTACTAAATTATTGAGGGAAGTGAACGAATAGAAACAAGTGTGGGAAGATATGCATATGGTCAACTCCATTGTAATTCTATAAATTCTTTTCCCAGTATCCGCTAGCGAAGACCAGATTCCACAAGGAGTGGACTGTACGGTTATGTATTGCCCGAAATCGGTGGCATCTTCGTGATGGAGACCGGCGCCCATCACTCTGATTTGATGTTCACCAGAGACGAGGTGAATTAACATAAATGCGTTTCATATGTAATCAGCGGACACGTTAGGACGCTGATGACGTACGGGCCTGTCGTCGGCTTGAAGCACTATACATTAGAAGGTGGATCGCCGAGAAACGAGACAGGCACAGTTCGTTCACTCGTGCATTTGCGAGGTAACGCAGAACCCCTTTGGAGGTTTCCACGATGTTCGACAAGTTGTTCATAGAAATGAAGCAGTGAGTAATGACGAACTGTGAAATATGTTTTCCACTAGTGTTTTTCATATTATGGGTATATGACGTATAAGTCATCGTTAGATAAAAGCGTACACAAAGATGGCCCGTACCGTAACTATCTCAACGATCGTTGGATTGATCAGTATTAGTTCAGGCCCGTACAAGCCGAGGAAGATCTACTGGAGACCGTCATGTTTTGAGTTTTATTTTATTTTCACTGATGATGTTAACTGCGTTATAGTCTCGAGGAAGTCGATACCTACGATAGTTTAACACAACAGCGCATTTGGAGCGAAAAACAGAACTGCACTTGCGTATACTGCAATGATGGAGAACCTGTAGGTGATTCACGCACACACAACCTATAATGACAAACTGTGAAGGGCAAAGAATGTTATAGCAGATATCACGCCTTTACTATCACACTGATGACGGCGATCGCATTTACGCTGTGATAGTGATCGAATGGTAATCACATGACGGAAAGATTAATGGAGAGAATTGCGAATGAGGAGATATCATTTATATCATCAATCTACTGCGTTACTCGTCGACGATAATTGTCGAACGATATTGGTCAAAAGACATATGATGAAATATTGGAAAGAATATTGGTCGAACAAGCAGACAATATTGGTTATCCTGGAGAACAAAATGTGCTGAAAAATGTGCAGTAGAGAAAACTGGATAGTGTGTACTGTGGAGGCATTGGCTATGGCTAAGAGTAGCTTCTCGGTGGGCCTCCAGAAGCGCTCCCATGAAACCTGTACAAGCAGTGCGCCAAGCATTTTCGGCTTAGAACGGGTACGCCGATGAAAGCGATGACTGGCACAACCGTTGCTCATCGACGACTGCCATTGGATAAGCTACTACATGTTAGACCGTATCTTA